TAAATTATATTTAATTCAATATTCATAAATTAAATTAATATTAAATTAACTATTAATTAGAAATAAAATCAATAAATATTTTTTAATAAATCAATCAAAATCAAAAAATCAAATCCATAAAATAAAATAATCACAAGAAAAACTAAACAAAAATACATAAATCGAAATGCCGTTTTTAATTTTTTGCTTTTAATAATTTTCAAATACATAAATATAAATAAACAATATATAAATATATATTATATAATATTATTTAAAATAAAAAAAAAAATAAATATATAATTTAATTAAAATAATTCATTATATATTTAATTAAATTATATTTAATTCAATATTCATAAAATTTAATTAAATATAAATAATTATTAATTAGAAATAAAATCAATAAATATTTTTAAATAGACCAATCAAAAGCAAAAAATCAAATCCATAAAATAGAATAGACGCAAGAAAGGCTAGACAAAAAATATAAATATCAATTCCGTCTTTATTTTTTTCTTTTAATCATTTTAAAATAAATAAATCAATAACAAAAAACAAAAAATCAAATCCATAAAAAAAGACCCAAGAAAGGCTAAACAAAAGATATAGATATAATGTTTATTTTTCATTATCTTTTTAGCATTTTTGTTTTTAGCCACTTTAGCAGACCAACCAAAACAAAACAATCAATAGATCAAACCTATGGAGAGGGACCCAATAAAGGCTAGACAAAAACCATAACCGATTCTTTTTTTAACATTTTTGGTTTTTGGTCACTTGTTAGTCTAAATTTGTTGTTTTTTCTTGGTGTGTCTATTGTTTTCAGAAGCTATGTGCATTTGTTATTGTTTACAAATTACTATCCTCACAAAAAGCTGCGTCTCTACAATCTACACCACTCCACCCCCCATAGCTACCCTTTAAATAAATATATTACTTTTCATTATACATAGCTAATATATGATCTATTGTTAAACTATATTTTGCGCTTATGGCAATATCTATTCATTTCGATTCGGATTACGGATGTCGGGAATTGCATAACCACAAATATTCACGTGTATTTAACACGGTGGTATGGCCGCATAAGGTATGGGCGGATTTGGCATCCACCCGCCACCATCACCTGGCAAGCAACCATCATGCGGAAAGACCTGGAGACAAGCTATCATTTTTCATTGGAATGTCAATATATAAAACATATTTGTCAACTCCTTACCCACCTTGCTCATTCGGGGATGGGATGTCCTCCTTTCACTGCAAAAGCAATCCCCCCACAACACTGTAGAGCAAGGTGACCACAGTCCGCGTTGTAGCCGTTTTCAATAGTCTAAACAAGTGTGGGAGATGCAACTATCTAGTTGCGACCGTCCCAATGGTGTCTTGCTTGTTCCTTCCAAAAAAACAGCGCGCCTGGGCTGCTCATGGATCCATAGACCGACCAAGAGCCTCGAGAAAGTGAACTTGTGATGGTGTGCCACAAATGCAACCCTGGGAAGTTGAACAAACATATTCAGGTGTTTCTTCAAGTCCCCCTGGTCTGTGTCGCCGGGATATGAGCTACCAAAGCTTGTGCGTTGGCAGGCTCGAGAAGGGCTTGGAGGAATTTGGAAGATAGGGTTTGGGTGGCAAACCCTTCTAGGTAAAGCTTGATGAGGAGGGTTAGGTGACCCCTTTTAAGTGGAGCTTGAACAGCAGGGTTCTACAATAAGTTTGGAGGGGAAACCCTTCCAAAAAAACTTAGTTTGTGAAGGGGAAACCGTGAAACCCTTCAAAGTAGAGCTCAAGTAGACCAAGCTTGCAGCTCCTTCTTAGGAGATCTCCTAAAGCTTCAGCGGCTTCAGCAGCTTCCAGGGTGGTGGATGGAATGTGCTTTTATCAACAACAAACGCCAAAAGTCAACATGGGTTGTCTCAACAAAGGTCGGAACAGCACCCCCAACAAACTCACCGAGCCTCGCAACAGGTCGCCCCCGAGGTCTCGGTACCGGTCTGAAGTGGTCGAGACGTCCCTGAAAGACACAGCCAAGGATCCCATGTGCACATAGGCCCAGATGGTTTTCACGGCCCCCGCGCTTCCAATCATGATGGCATTGGGCTTTCCATAGCTGGCCATGCTGCAAACCCGCAGCATGATGTCTTCCTGAGGCTTAAAAAAAATTCACGCAGAACAACCCAACGCCATTCATTAACCTTTTCGAGATTCAAGTAGCACAAGTAACACTCTACATGTCACCCCTATCACATCGGATCACTTTCCCTGGGCGGGCCGCTGTCTCCACGCTTCGTCGAAACCGTCAACCGCTCTTCCTCCGGGCGTCGGGCTTCCAGGGTGCCGAGGTGTCTTTGAGCTCCACCGAGTAGGTGCCGAAGGGCGACAAGGCCGTGCCCGTGGTGGCGCGGATCGCCTGAAGCTTCGGCGCATCGCGGTGCAGCGCGGTGCTCGCAACGTCTGAAAGGGTGCGCCACAACGGAGTTGGCCATGTTGAGTGGTCGAGGTGGCGCTTGAAAGCGGTCGCCGGCAGAGACAATTCTGTCTTTGGAAAACGACAATTCTTTTTGACCGAAGTCGAAAGCGGTCCCGCTTTCCTTCAAGAGTGGACACGACTATATGCACACTGGTGAAACCCACCTTTCCACCTCTTAAAAATTGAGGTGGTCTGTGTTCGTCTGGGGAGGGTATGGTGTACTGTGAAATAAGATATATATATATATACACAATTATACAAACGAATATATTCACGCTTCTCCGCGGCAAGGGCCGCCCGCGCCGCCATGAAACAGTTGCCCAACAAGAAGGACGAAAACTGTCACCCACACAGCCTCGAAATCAGAAAATCCGGCCCCCCAGCTTTCACGACAAGACATACGGAAACAAAATGCGTTTCCAAACCGAAGTCGAAGACAAAAAAAACAGGTTTGTGCTCACGCCTTGCATGTTGCCCTACAAGTCAATAGCGAGTCGGATGAGTGATGGCATGACGCAACAACGATCGTAGAAGGTAATACGCCAGAAGTGTGCGCTATCTTCATTCATCGCCATATATCACAAGGGCTCATCATGTTGCCATTTAGTAAGTGTGGATCCAAACAGATTGTTGCGTTCAGCTCCCGCTGCTAACATACATATGTATATGGAGCTTTGCATCTGCCAAAACACTGTTATTGACAGTGTTTTCATACACCGGAAAGCAAACACCACTAGACATAGCGAGGTGTTTGGGGTTGACGTTGCCGATAACATCACTATGTGTATTTTACCGTGTTTTTATCCTCTGTGAGGCAGAAACCACTGCAAGTAGCGACGCTTTTGAGCTTGCCCGTGGCCCCAAACACCGCTGTTTACAGTGTTTTTGAACCTGCTGTCAAAAAACATTATTCCCCAGATAGCGAAGCTATGGGGTTCTTACTTCAATTAACAATGAGTTGCCCGCGCGCGCGCTTTCGAGAGAGGTTGCTGGTGCTGGGTGCCGGTGCTGGTGCTGCTGGCTGTGCACGTGGTGGAGACAGGTTGCTGGTGCCGGTGCTGGTGCTGGGCGCCGGGTGCCAGTGCTGCTGCTGTGAGCTGGCTGTGCATGTGGTGGAGGCAGGTTGCTGGTGCTAGGTGCCGGCGCCGGGTGCCGGTGCTGGTGCTGTGAGCTGGCTGTGCACGTGGTGGAGACAGGTTGCTGGTGCTGGTGCCGGGTGCCGGTGCTGGTGCTGTGAGCTGGCTGTGCACGCGGTGGCTGGCTGTGTGGGTGTGCGCGGGAGACAGGGTGCCGGTGCTGGGCGCCGGGCGCCGGTGCTGTGAGCTGGCTGTGCACTTGGTGGAGACAGGGTGCCGGTGCTGGTACTGGGTGCTGGCTGCGCGCGTGGTGGAGACAGGGTGCCGGGCGCCGGTGCCGGGCGCCGGTGCTGGGCGCTGGCTGTTCGCCTGGTGTTTCTTATTTTTTCAAATGACAATGACCCTGAGCATCCGATATTGAATAGGATCAATATTTTTGATTAAAAAATATTGATATTGAATGGTTTGAAAAAATTGAAAATTTCAATTTTCAAATTTTGCTGCTTTTGAGCAAAAATATTGATTGAATTATTGAAACCCTTATTGAATTTGATATTGATTTTGGATGTGGGTGTCTCAGGGCCAGCCACATCCTGTCAAGACATGGCTTTGGAGTTTCATGAAATGCTGTGTATTTGCTAGTGGAAATGTCTTGGAGGTGTTGTTGGTGCTGCTATATGTGCTGCTGTTGGCCCAAATTGATCAGGCTTGTAGCCAGAACAATTGTTCGAACCTTTGGAAAAAAGGTGTGACCTTTGGAAAAAAGGTGTGACCTTTGGAAAAAAGGTTGGGCCTTTGGAAAAAAGGTGTGAAATCCAAACTTCTAACAACCATTGAAAAAATGGTAAAGGGAGGGGCCAGGAACTTTGCCAAACCCTCAGTGGACCCAGGTCTTGTGCTCAAAATTTTGAAAGACAATGCAGAAGTAGTCAAAGACCTGGGTGCCTATGAAACAGTGTCAAGGGCCAGTGCAGTCCAACCTCATGGCCTGCTGCAAGTCAGGCACCTCCTGGAGGACATTATCGAAGTATCTCCAACATGTGAATTGCAAGCATCAGTTCTCAGGACAGCCTTGATGAACCTACTAACCTCCAACATCTCTCTGAACAACACACAGTTCAATGGCAACACCTGGTCAAACCAGAAAGCAGAGAGAATCACTGTACTGTTGTGCCACACAAGAAAGGTAGCAAGAGATAAAGAAGTTCAGAGAATCTGTGCAGCCAAACTGACTGCCAGGGAGTACCAGCTGCTGGAAGCTGTGACCAGCAAGATAATACAGAAGGAAGAAGAGGCCTTGGAAAAAGGCCTGAAGGTACTCCAAGCAAGGGTAAGCGATGCAAGCCTTGACAGTGATGGTTTCCCCAATATCCTGAAAAGCCCAAAAGACACAAAAGACACCAAGTGCACAGGCCTATCACATCCCTTGAAAAAAGGAAAAGGAGCTTCAAGCACAGCCATGGTCCCTGTTATTGACCACTGGGAATTGCAGACAGCCATGGGGTTTGGCAGCAAAGCCCATAAAAAGCCAGCTGCCAAGCCTTCGACAAAAATGTCACCCAAGAAAGGGCAGCCTTTGACAAAAAAGGCAAAAAAGAAAGGCCAGCCATTGATTAAAAAAAACAGCTGGGCCAGACCCAAGCAAAAGTTGGGTTAGCCTGAGGGTGACTAGTGCCAAAGATCCAGAGAGAACTTACCTCACTGGCTGCCAAGAAGGGAGCACACAAAGAAGGTTGGTGGTGGAGGTCCCAGCCAAGTGGTCCAAGGACCACAAAGGTATCATTCTCAGAATCAAGAAAGACATGGAAGAAAAAAAACTAACAAAGGGAGATGCTATTGCTTTGAGATCAAAGTTGGTCAGATGATTGCATTGTGCAAAGCCTTTGCAAAAAAGGCACCCAAGCTGAATGGCCACCACCCCTTGAAAAAAGGGGTTGTGAAGAAGCCCAGCAAGGCAGTGAGGGAACCCTTGTAAAAAGGGAGTGTTTTTGACACCACTTGTACAGGAGCTTTTTTTAACAGAGCTTTCAGGCCCCTTGCCAAAAACATGTGCCCAAGCAAGCCAAGGGTTCAAGCATGAACTTGGAACCTTAAGGGTTGGCACACCAAAAATTGGAATTTTTCCAGAACACATGTACACTAGGGTTGGAATTGTAACAGAACACATGTACACTAGGGTTGGAATTGTTTCAGAACACATGTACACTAGGGTTGTCCAGTACACATGTACACATGTGTGTTTTTCTACACTAGGGTTGGAATTGTTTCAGAACACATGTGCACTAGGGTTGTCCAGTACACATGTACACATGTGTGTTTTTCTGCAGCTGTTTCAAGCTCAAAGACAAAGACATAGGAAACACAACCAGCCCTTGAAACAAGGGCAACCCTTGAAAAAAGGGTATCCCTTGCAAACAGGGAACCCTTGAAAAAAGGGCTGTGCCATGCCCTACAAGTGGTCGAAAGACATATGGGAAGAAGATGCAGAGTGGTGGAACCCCTACAACAAAAGAGGCAGGCTCAAAGGGAAGGGGTCCACCACCTGGAAAAGGCAAGCTGTGAGGGCTGCCAAAGCCAAGGCTCAGGCAGCTCCAGCTGTGGCAGCCCCACCAGAACAGGATGGGGCTCAGCCTTTGCAAAAAAGGCAAGGAGAAGAGAAAGTGAAGGAAGAAGAGCCTTTGCAAAAAAGGCAAGGAGAAGAGAAAGTGAAGGAAGAAGAGCCTTTGCAAAAAAGGCAGGAAGCCACAGCAGTAGAGCAGCCTTTGGAAAAAAGGCCAGGAGAAGAAGCAAAGCCTTTGGAAAAAAGGCAAGAAGAACAAAAAGAAGTTGATGAAAATACACAGCCTTTGGAAAAAAGGCCAGAAGAACAAAAAGAAGTGAAAAAAGAAACCAAGCCTTTGGAAAAAAGGCAAGCAACAGCAAAGGCCACACCTCAGCCCTTGCAAAAAGGGCCAGCTGAAGAGGTCAAGCCTAACTTCTTTCGCAAGCTGCCACAGGAGAGGTGGAGGGATGATGAGAAATGCCTGCTGTGCAACAAGGTGCTCACACAGGCCCACATCTGCACACCTCTCCACATGAAGAAGATGGAGCAGGCTCTCAATGAGTGGGAGGCAGAGGTGAAGGCAGCATCTGCTGCAGCTGAGGCTCAGGCCAAAGCAAAGGCCCAGGCCAAAAGAGCAGAAGAGGCCCAAACTTCAGAAGAAGGGTCTGGTGAGTGGACCACTGTTGCTGGCAAAAGGAAGCAGTGGAAAAAGAGGGAGGAACAACCCTTGCAAAAAGGGGTTGTGAGGGAGGTCAGCCTGAGCAGCAGCAGCAGTGAAAGCAACACCAGCTTTCCTGAGCCTTTGCAAAAAGGCAAGAGAATGCCCCACCACAAGCCAATAAGGTGGTGGCAGTGGACTGGCACAATGTGCTGCAAGTGAAGAGAAAGGGTGAGGAAGTGGTGCCAGATGCACATGTAAGAAGCATCTGGGACTTGCAGCAAAAGGGCTTTGACATCATCCTCTTGTCCTTTGCAGGGTGGGCAAGGGGCAAAGAGGTGGTGGCAAAGGCCAAGCAGCTCCCAGTGAAGTGGACAGATGTAATCATCTGTTCTGACCCCACTGGAGAGTGGGGGAAGGCAGCATGGTGTGAATACTTGGGGGCCACTTACCTGGTGGATGACAACAGGGCAATCTGCCAGGAAGCCTTGGAAAAAGGCCTGACTGTGCTGCCTGTCATGACAAACTATGAAGACCACAGGTGGTTTTCTGGACCTGTGTTCAGGAGCTGGCCTGAGGCAGCAGCATGGCTCGAGCAGTTTGGCAGCAGCTCTTGAAAAAAGAGCAAGACAAAACAGCAGGTTGAGAAGCTCTTGAAAAAAAG